TTCTTGAGCGTCCTCCCCTTTTCAAGAAAGAAAGGAGGTCTCTTCTTGCCGAGGGGTAAACGGAGCCCTCTTCTTTCTCGTGAAGTTGGAGCGGCCTGTTTGCTTTGTTGAGATGGCGCTTTCTTCTGCCCCTTTAGATTGCTCTTAGTCTCTTCTTGTCGAGGATGAGGCAGAGGATTTTTTTGGAAGCTAGTTCAGAGGATGGGGTAGAGGGCTGCTCATGTCTTATTGAAGGCTAGGGGGAGGATCAGACTCTTCTTGTGAAGATTGAGACCAAGCCGCCGAAGAGTCTGCCGGCGACTTCTCGCTCGAAGCGCTGGCCTGGAAGCCGCATATCGATCAGAACGATCGGCGGCCGCGTTGGCCTTAGCGCGGGCTCAGCCACGACATTTCAGCATCGCACACGAAACCCGGACAGCTCAGTCCTCACTTCTTGAAAGCTATCTCTCTTCTATCCCTTGAGGAGGAAGAGGGGACGACAAGGAGCTCCTCTCTCTTCTTGTCGACTGAGAGGCAGCCGGAGTTCTTTTTTTCCCGTAAGTTGGAAGGGTTCTCTGCTCCTTTGAGATGCTGCGGTAGAGGATGTGCCAAGGGACCTCTTCCTTACCCTTTTGGGGATAAGAAGCTCATTTCTTGCGGACTTGCGGATGACGAAGCAGCGAGCTCCCTTCATTTATCGTCAGAGGAGATGGAGACTTACAGGGAGGTAGAGGAGCTCGCTGCTAGGAATCAGCTGAATGATTTGGAGGGACTTTCTCCGTGTTTTCGTTGAGGGTTGGGGGGAATCTCCACCCTTTCTTGATCCGTCTGTCTACATTCCAAGGAGCCCCACCAATGTCGATGAGGCGAGACGAAAGATTCTATACTTGTATTGAGTATGTATAGAGAGACGTCGGTCCAGTACAATCGCGATATACCTACGTCTATAGTATGCAATGAAAACCCACAGTTTCAGCTGGCGACTATATCCTGTTTAAGCCGGCCACGGGGGGGGGGCCCGGGGTCTCGGGTTGATACTCCTTCCTTCCCATCTCTCCGGCTAGGGGGGGGGAAGCCCTGCTGAACGACCACATGGCTAGAGCTTTTGATTTCAAGAACGACAGTAGCCGAAAGGTAGCTAGCCCGTTGGCGGGCTAAGTCCAGAATGGCTTCACCGCCCGACCCAGCGGAGCTAGCGAAAGGCTCCACGGATTTTCGCTATCTTTTGACCCAGAATCGGGTCCCGGATACCTCCCAGGCTACTTTGTTCAAAGCCGGGATAGACACGATAGCGAAGTTTTCGGCGAGTTTCAAGGACGAAGCCGACCTCAAGTCGGTGCTAGCCAAGGACTTCTCGATAGAGCCAGAAAGCTCACTAACAAACAGGGCGCTAGCGGCTGCCTTCGTGGTTGCATGGAGAGCCGCGCAGGCCAGAACCCGCGAGCAGGCGGATAGAGAAGCGGCTAGCGAGGTCCGGGAATGGGCCAAGCCCATCCCCCAAACGGAATACATGGCTATGCGCCAGTCCTTCTCGCAGAAGTTTGGCGAGCCCGAGGATAAGCATATTCCGGCTAAGGAATATATTGAGCGAAAGCTGCACGAGCTAGAGACGGGCGAGTTCAGGGCGGAGCCCCTGAACGAGGTGCTGTCCAGAGACGAGATAGACCCGGATGTGCTAGTTCCCCAGTGGGATAGCAAAGGCACCGCCCTCGTGCTCAAGAAGGCTACCTCGAAAGGGGCGATGCCATCCGGGCCGGAACAGCTACGGCTGCGGCTAACAGTCATGCAAAATGCACTTCTCATGATAGGCCTCCAGCATCCAGGGCGAGCAGAGCTCAAGGATATCGACTTCCAGCTCTTTGAGAAATACAAGGACTATCTGCTCGGCGACTTCTGCTACGGGCTACGCTCCAACGAGGCTAGCGGAAGTCTCGCTCCCCCGTGGACCCTGGTGCTATGCTACGAGAACGCTATCCGGAAGCAGGCCTACAAGCAGATGGTCCTCAAGGGGATAGCCTTCGCGGACGCGCTAGTCCAGTCCTGGAAGGACGCGGCTACCAAGGAGCGGCACTTCACGACTCCGTTGTCCCTCTGTGCTAAAAGGCCGCAGCCCTGGAACTGGGATAGTACCAGCGCCCAGCCGGCTAAGCCCAACAAGAAGGGCAAGGGCAGAGGCAAGGGCAAGGACGGCAAGGATAGCAACAAGAAGGCTAAGACCGGCACCTTCCATCGCACCGAAGATGATAAGCCGATTTGTTTTCGGTTTAATTTGAAAGGTGGCTGCAAGAAGGGGGATAAGTGCCACTTCGTGCATGTCTGCACGAAATGTCGGGGACCGCATTCGGCTATCAACTGCCCCGGCGCGGCTACGCCGTCGACAGCGGCTAACTGACTCCCGGAGCCAGCGCCGGCTACTTCGGCTACACCTGAGGCGACACCTCCACACCGGCGGCTACAAGCTCTCTACCTCTTCTCGGGAAGAGAAAGGCTAGGTAGCTTCCAAAGCCACCTCCGCCGGCTAGTCTCTTCCTACGAGCTCGATATAGATATATGTTGTGTGGATCTGGCGAGGAGTCCGCCCATCGACCTGGCTACTTCCAAGGAGAGGGCGAGGTACCTCCACAAAGTTCAATCGGGCCACTACGACATCGTGGCTATTTCTCCCCCTGTGGCGACGTTCTCTAGGGCGAGCTCGGCCAACCGCAAAGGTCCCCGGCCAGTCCGAAGCTTTGACGAGCCCAGAGGATTGGCTACACTCACGGCCAAGGAGAGAGACCGGGCTATTCTTAGCAACATTTTTGCTGATTTTTCTTTTGAAATAGCTAGTGCAGCGGTTTCCTCGGCTACCTTCTTCGTCCTGGAGCAGCCAGAAGACCTGGGGGCTATGACGGCGGGCCCCCACAAAGGCCGGCGACCGGCCAGCATGTGGCAATGGGAGGCTCATGCACGGCTAGTTGGCCTCGGGCTACGTTCGGTGGCCCTGCACCTGGATAACTTCGGGGCACCCTCGGCGAAACCGACACGACTGCTACTCAAGTCGCCTCTGGAAATGCCGGCTACCGTGCACGAGGGCCTCCCCGCTTTCGACAATGATGGCTACTATCTGGGCCCCTTGCCGACGGCGGCTACCTCCTCGACGCCGCAAAGCCCCATGCTGGCTAAGGAGACGCTTGGCGAGTGGCCCTCGAACTTCTGCCGCTGGCTAGCACAGTTGGCCCTGGCAACCTGCACGGCTACTGCTCCGACTGCCTCCGGAGTGGGGGTACCGACTGTGCAGGATAAGGTGAATTCCGGCGACCTCGACTATGTTACAAACCAACCAGAGGGCCCACGGCTACATGGTGGCACGGGACCCCCCCGCCGATGCCATCAAAACGACGGGATAAAGGAGTTCCACGACGGTGGCGGGCTATGCTCTCCTGGGCGCTGGCCCCGACACTCTCGTGGACATGCCGCGGGCGAGTCCTGGGACTGGCTGAGGGCTAAGATCCGGGAGATGGTAACCAAGCGAGTGGGATCCGAGAACGAGCTGGAGAAGGAGGCCTTCCGAATGGCTATGGGAGGCGAGTCGGCCTGCAAGCTCGTCCGGGATAGCCAACTACACGAGGAGCTATTGCAACTCCTGCAAGTTTGGATAGAAGGTCAGGACCTCAGCGAACCAGGCCTACTGGATATTCCTCCTGGGCAGCCCCTTCGTCTACGGCTACTTCGTGCGATCCTCGAGGCGGCAGGCGACCCGGATAGGGACTTCCTCCGTCGGGCCGAGGAGGGACTCCCACTTGGGATATTGGAGGGGCTACCCAGAACACCGCACGTGTTCGAGGAGCAATCCTCCTGGAGGCTAGACAACGCCCCTTGGGAGCCGGCGCTAGCATGGGTCCCGAATTATTCCTCGGTTAGCGACCACAGGGATTTTGTGCGGGCTAAGTTCGACGAGGACGTCGAGGAAGGCCTCATGGAGAGGATGACCCTCGGCGAGTTCAAGGCGAGGTTCGGCGAGAACCGGGCTATCGCCTCCCTGGCCGTGATAGTCGAGGACGAGGAGAAGGACAAGAAGCGGATACTACTCGAAGCTATCGAAGGTAGCTTCGCTAGAAACGAAGTTTCGTTCGCTATCGTCGCTCGCAGGAGAGTTGCCTCTGACATGCGAAGACAGGATAGCTGTGACTTGGAATGGCTACGACGGTGTGTGACCGTGGCCATTCTGGATAAAGTCCCCCATCAGGGGGGGTAATTTTGAAGTACCCACCCTGCCCACCCTGGGGATAGATAGCCGAAGGCTATCAGTTATCTCCAAGCAACCTGGGATAGTTGCCACTCCAGACAAAAGAACGTCCGTGCTAGCTGTGTTGCTTGTTCGTCTGGTCGTCGCTCGGCTAGCTCGCTAGCTATCTACTTTTGTACTACTATCGTCCTGGTGGAGATCCGGGGATGGTGGTGGGATATAGGAGCTAGTGCACACTGGACGTCCGCAGTTGCTTGATGTACTTAGCTCCTTTCCTATCAGTGAAGATTACCTGGCTCGAGGATGCTGGGGAATAATTTGCAACACCTAAGTCCATCACACACTTAGGGAAAGTAAGTGAACTTTGATGAACTTTGCGAGCAAGCCGAAAAAGGCTGGAGCTTCGGTTCGTCTGGCAAGACTCAGCAAGCTCGGTGAATGCATCTATCAACTTGAAATATGCAAGGTGCGCGTCCTTTCACTCTCATCCGCTGTCCGTCCTGTTGGCTACGGCTTGATCGCAGCGTGTTGTTTGGGGGTTTTCTGTTCGCAGGGCCATTCGTGGGCATACGGCGTCTGCAGCCTGCAATTCTGGCGGAATCCATGTGCCGTCCTCTTTGTTTGCGGTGTTGAAGTTATCGAAGTTCGTGTCTGGTGACACAGCGCCTCGCATGGAAGACTGCAGCCGACTGGCCGACCTGTGGTCTAAGAAAGATGTCTCTCCGTGTCTCAGATTTCTTGCTTGGAAGTTCCGTGGAATTCTGAGCAGCACTTTGTATTGTCACTTCAGGCGTGGATGTCTGGAGTGCTGGATGCATCCTTGGCGAAATGGCAACTGGTGCGGTCCCTAACTTGTAGCTGGTCGTGTCGCGAAAGCTGACATGCCGAGACTAAGGTGCCGCGCTTTTCCATGGGGACAGCGAAATCGACACTATCTTCCAGATCTTCCGAAAGCTCGGAACGCCAACGGAGGCCTGAGACAACGTGCTCATCGCACTTTCTGCAAAATGTGTATGCGCGTTAGTCGGTGTAAGGTCCGATTGTGACAGGTTTCGTGGCTAGTAGAGACTGCAGTAGCGTCCTTCGCTCAAGACCGGAACACTAGTGTTGATGATGCCAGCATGTCATGGCCCTGCGACTGATAATTTGTTGCCTTTCCCTTAAGTGGGCTGCATGAGCATAGGCTGCCGGTTCCCGTGGCAGTGAAGTGGACGTGGCTCATCGTGCTCTGGGAAGCTACTCTAGAATACTCCGATGAAGATCCCCACGTCGTGATAGTTTGACAGGCTGACTGGCCTGGGCTTTCGAGCCTTCCAGACTTCAAGCCGACGTTCCCTCAGCTTCTTGGCAAGCAGTCCACAGGATATCACAGGATGCTTGTTCTGGGAGAAGTTTTATTGTCACATTATTGTCATGTCCTGGGTGTCTCATGTCGTACAAGCAGGTTACTTTCTGGAAGATGATCAGCAATCACTGTCAACACAACCAGATGGCATACAGGCTAAAGGGCCTGCATTCAGAACATATTCAGGACAGTCCCAGTGCTTTGTGTATGTGCTGCTTCAACTATCAGTCGAACTGCCGCCAGCGAGTATGGAAAGACCCGCCCTGGCAGCAGTCCACCACAGTCCAGCATGGGTCACCAGCAGCCACCACAGAAAGTCAAGCAAAAGACATTGGTAAGTGAGCGTGCTTGGGGATGAGCCCTGCGACAGTGCCTGTGGTGGAGAGCAAGGTTGGAAGGCTGGGCAAGAGGTGGGCGGGGGGTGGGTGGGTAGGTAGGTGGGTGGGGTGGGGTGGCGCGCAGGACGGTTTGCGTATGGGCACTAATCAAAGCCCAGGTAGTTTACGTGGAACAGAAGTAGAGAGAAGACAGAACACTCCTGTGACTTGCAAAAACACTGACATCAGGTGGAGGCGTCGGCCTTGGACGGAAATTCGGAACATTGCATCGCAGCTTGGTTCTGCTAGCCACTCAGTTCTCAAGAGAGATGTCAGGCATGAGGAGCGTTTAGGTTTGAGATCAATCATTCCAGGCTGGCGTGCGGCTTCTGGACACGAGCTGTCGTTGCAGATTTGCTGCACCTTGCTTTCGTCGGCTACTTTCAGGAAGCACTTGCCAAGAGCACCTGGCAGGATTCAATGTTGCGATACGACCCCGCGTGCCGTGTTTCTGCGAAGCAGACACTCCAGCATGAGTGCTCCCAGCTGTCGAAATCTTTGTGGACGCCTCAGCTTGCGGGCAGGCTGATCCGCCAGATGTTGCCAGGTACTTCAATGTGGACTCCGACACGATGGATGCCATCATGGCAGACTGATGCAGACTGAATCCACGCGAAACGAAACGACAATTAGATTCTGCAGCCAGGCCTCTAAATCGAGCCTCCGGCCTACCCGTGTTGAGAATTTCGTGCTATCGACTACATTGACTACATTGACATCATAGTCATAGTCATAGCCACGGCGCTTCGTTCCGAATGGTGCCTGGCTGTCAGCATGTCCATGGCCCTAATTCATGTGTAATTTGGGATGCACCCTCCAATTCATGTGCAAGCACACCGTTTATGCAGTGACGCCAGATTCAATGCCTGCTGATCGTAAACTGCACGTGGGATTCGCCTGTTCTAGAAAAGCTTGAGCCAACACGAGGTTGGCTTGGACATTCCTTGACCGTGCGTGCATACATCTGACGGCCCTCGGTTGGATTTGAAGCTCAAGAGTGGTGTAGGGTAGTCCATTTAACGTTCGTCATGGGGCGCCGAGTCAGAGGCAACGCCGCAGCCGCGATCCCAAGTCCCAAGTGTCTTGGCCATCCGGAGTGGCCTCAGGTTCCGCTGCTTTGGTGGCTGGGGCAGGTCTATGCGTGTGACTCAGATGAGGGCACGAAGATAGCAATCGGTTCGTTTACAGCAATTTGCAACAAGAAGTCCCAAGGTCTGGTGCCCGGAGTTCTTTTTGTTCCCTCCCTGTCGTCGCCATCCTCAACCCCCCGCGTGGTTCCTTGGTAACAAATCGCAGTACACATGTTGGCTGCCATTCAATAACGCCTACACTGGCAGGCGCCTGTCTCGAATCCGTCTGTCCGAGCTCTTGGACAAGGCGTGGAAATTGGAAATTTGGGTGTGGCCATGGCGAGCCACTTCGGTCAGGTGAGTCTGGCCTGATGAGCTTCGTGGGTGCCGCCACAACGGCAGCCCTGGCTGCGTGCTGCTAAGTGCGGCGACTCGTGCACAGAGTTGCTTGAAAGCCAGGGGCTAGCTCAGGTTTGCGTGGGACGCGTCACGCGCGCCGCAGAGCCTGTCGAGGCAGGAGCTTGACTCGGAGAATGAAAAGGGACTTCAAATACAGACAGAGGCTAACAGCTTGCACGCGATGGGGCAGGTAGAAGTACATTGTAGTGCGAGCTTGTCAGAACTGCTGAAGCTGAAGTGGTATAATATGTGTATATATATATATGTAACTTATATGTATGCGCATATATGTCAAGGATTCAGGGCTTATGGGCGGTCGTGCTCGTCTCAAAAGCAGCTAGTATGATGACTGCTTAATTTTGTCGTTCTAATAAGTGAGACACGTGCCACGACATGAGTAGTATGATGTATAGTATGCAACATCGACATGTATGATCCGTTCGCGATGCACAGACCACGCTCCATTGATTCCTCTGCGTGTGAAGTGTGTGAGGCAGCTGCGACTCCAGACGAGAAAGCAGCAGATGCCGAGGCCCAACAATCAGTTGCTGAAATGTTTCCGAATCCACGAGCAGTGTGGATCAGCCACTCTCTCAGCTGGTGTTGCACGGTATCAACACCGCAGGCGGCGGCATCAACGACGAGCACTGCGACTGAGGTGCCAGTGGTGAGCATATGGGCACAAACTCAACACTGTTTCTTGCTTGAGACTTGGTACTGCTGCGTGCAGTACTCTTTCTCGTGCACGAACTGACTGGGCCTGTAGCGCTTCTGCTTCCAGCTTGTGCTGGGTTGTAAAGGAGAGCGAAGCGCCAACAGAGAGCGCAGACGAGGTGCAACCCCTTGAGCGTTTGTCCCTTCCATGCAGTTTGGCTGCCTGCCTTCGACATTGGATTCTCACCTCAGCAGGCGAGCGGCGCCATTAAATGCCCAAAACCCATTCCCTTTGTCCATTAGCCTGAGTTATCTGACTTCGATCCATGGCAGCCGCATCCGGAAGCAGAGGGAAGCCAGCCGACAAAGAGTGATCCAGGTGAGTGAGGCAAGTTGTACTGCAGTCAGGTTCCTCGTCTCACAAACTCTTCTGCGAAAGATCTATTCGACTTTGGACGACTGGTTGACCAGCACCACACAAAAGCCGAGGTTGAGCAACAGAGTTGCAAAGGTTTCGGCTTCAAACTGGCTGCTCATGTAGATTCCAGAGCGACTCCCTTCAGTTAACTCATGGATGGATGGATGGTTGGTGTTTGTCTCAGCGAGCTGAGAGTTCTTGTCCCTACGGAAGGAAGGAACAGGTGGCAAACATGAGGTGGAACCCGACGAGGAAACGATCCTCTGCAAGCAGAGCATGCTGGAGAAAAGCAGAGTGACAGAGCACCAGCTTCCAAGCTCACATTGACGATGCTCCTGCTGAAGTCGACCGGACACCCATAGCCATAGCATCCTAGTCCTACTCCTTTCCGTAGCCTTCCAGAGAGCTGGCAGGAAGCACCGAAGGGGTTCGACCTCACCAAGCCCAAGCCTTACGCGTTGTTGCTGCATGGTATGCCGAGACCTGATTCAGTCTGCTCGACAGCGGCAGGGGTCCTTTGCATAGTAGGAGACGAACCGAGGGCAGCCAGCATTGGGCATAGGAAATGTTTCCAGTGCTATTCTGGAAGAGCTCAGACGTGCTAATCACAGTATTACATTGATGGCGTTGTCAAGGCTTCCTGGACAGACGGTAGGAGACAGAGCTGGTACAGTGCTCAAACCTCTCATCTGGCTTTCGCGTCCTGTCTCTATCTCTATATATCTCTTTCTCTCCCTCTCTCTGCCCCTCCGTCCCTCCGCGCTGCAACACATGTTTGGCGACTTCTCCGGAAGGGCAGCCAGCACCAGAGCTCAGATAAGAGGAACATTCTACGTGCAGCTTTCTCCACAGCTTGGCTGTTAGCACTCAGTTTTGAGGCATTTGTTTCTTACAAGGTCTGCTTGCGGCAAGTGGGGCCTGGGTTGCTCAATCGTCTCTTCGGGCACACTTGCTTTCGATTTGACATGAGCCGAGCAGTGGCATTTTTCCCAACGTACGCTGACCCTTGTCCTCTGTTCGCGCTTGCACGCTGCATAACATGTATATTCCAGCGCACTGCCACAAACAGGTGATGCATCAGACTGCATGCACAGCCAACTTGCAGGCAGGTGGGAGCCACACCTCCACTGGGCTTTTGGGATCCTGCGAATCTCTGCAAAGGCCTGACAGAAGAATGCTGCCACTTTGAGCTGTGAGTTCGTAAGTTTAAGCCGCATCCATGCCGTTGCTTTCGACAGAGTTGTGCCGCACGCGGTCTGAGCCGACCCAGCCTCGGAGGGGTCACCACCACACCCCCCCTCCTTCTCCTGCCGAAGCAGCACGTGTGTGCCACGACCCCCCAAAAAAGTATGAGAGGTGTACCACCACCCCTCCCGCCCTGAAGGATCATGCCACCAACCCTTTCCAGAAGCATCAGGATTCGTGGAAGTGGGTAGTCGTGGTAGTGACGATGAGTCATAGCCTTGGTCGAAGTAGTACTCGTCGTCATCGTCGTAGCAGCAGCAGCAGCAGCAGGAGTAGTAGTAGTAGTAGTAGTAGTAGTAGTAGTAGTAGCAATGCTACTACTACCATACTACCGTATCTTTTGCAATGCTACCAATATCATGTCCCTTGACTGGAACCTGACAGTGTGACTCACCCTTTTCTAGGGTGCTTGGACTCAGGATGCACTACACAGCGATTCCACTCCATCCTATTTCAGCGGACTATTAACTGAAAGAAAGTGTTCCGGTACCAAGCCCAACCTCGGTGCTACTGACTGTCACCAGCGGGCGAGCGACTGGGTGGGCTTGCACCTTGAAGGAGGCAGTCGGTGGGAGCACCAGGGCCTGGAGGCCTGGACCTTGCAGAATTTCAGCGACAATCGACAGTCAACCCTGCAGTCAACACTACCCAATGCTGGAAAATCCAGACTTTTCGAGTTCTGGACAGTCAGAAGCTTGAAAAACGTGTATTTCCCTCCAAAACGAGCAAACACATGCAAAATGACAGTCAACACTACAGTCAATACTACAGTCAACACTACCAAAACCGTGGGAAAACCAGTAACGAGCGCATTCCACAATTCAGTCGTTTTAAGGGAAAACTGAGGTTTTTTGGGTTCTTAATGTCCAGAACGCCAGGATTTTCCCGCATGTTGGCAGTGTTGATTGAGTGTTGACTGTCATTTTGTACGTATTTGCTCGTTTTGCAGAAAATCAGAGGTTTTTTGGATTCTGAACGGATTTTTCAGCATTTCGGCAGTGTTAACCGGCCAGCACCCGCACCGGTTTCGAGGGCGGCATGCCCGGCCGGGAGCAGTTCGCCTTATACCGCTCATTACCGCTCCGAAAAGCGGTTTGACTCGCTAGCCCAAACATCTACAGGAGCGGTGTTCCCACCTGAAGAAAACTGTATTTTTGCGGCTAAGCGTGCTCTCATGCCAGCTCAAAGGCCGCCTAACCGGCCTCACACTGGCAATACCTCATGCTCATACAACATACCAAGCAACACTCACCGAAAGGGACTGTGGATGGACAACATCTTGCATCACTTTTCGGTGGCGTCATTTCATGATTCCCTGCACCCCCTTTTTAGCATTGGCTGTGAAAGGCTAGAGACCAGATTTGTTCCAATGGCCGAAATCTTGCACCTCTCAGGCAGTCTCAGCTGCCAATATCTGCCAATGTTAAGTTTGAAGAATGCATGTGCAGGTGGTGCAAGATTTTGTCCATCCACCGTACGACTGCTGCTGCTACTACTACTGCTACTACTACTACTACTACCACTACCACTACCACTACCACTACCACTACCACTACCACTACCACTACCACTACCACTACTACTACTACTACTACTACTACTACTACTACTACTACTACCACTACCACTACCACTACCACTACCACTACCACTACCACTACCACTACCACTAATTACTACTACTACTACTACTACTACTACTACTACTACTACTACTACTACTACTACTACTACTACTACTACTACTATTTTGCAATTGAACGCTGTGCGAGCGGGCTCAGCACATAGCGGGCGATTGCCGCGGTGCACTCACTTGGTGTGAAACTGACTCAGACCCTATAGCTGATCAGCCCAGGTCAAAGACCTTTGGATGTTGGCGGCCTACAGGCTTTGAACTAACTGGCAGGAATCAGCCAAAGCGAGTTTGCAGGCTGCTAGGCATCAAGCTTCAGATCGTTGTATGTACCTGAACATGGATAGTGATTCGGCATTGCGGATAGCAGAGCAGCAGTAACGCGACCGGCGGCAGGCTAGGGCTTGTTTTCCAACTGACAGCTGCGGCATCCGGCAGAAAGGCTGTCAGTCCGTTCCGGAAGAGACGAAAAAGGAAAAGCAGGCATGGCCTCCGCAGTTTATTGCGTAGTCTGCCATTGGCACCATTGGTCGTGGGCAGAGCTCACTGATGCCAGGAGCGGCTGCCACTGGCCCCAGAGTCCGATCCCCGATTCCACCAACCTCCTCGGTTCCAGGCGTCACCGTCCCTGTGGCGCTTGTCTGTGTGAGACTGTGTCTCTTCTCCAGAGCGCTTGTCCCGCTGTTCGCGCTGCTCGCGCAGCTCGCGCTGACGGTGCCATTGGTAGGTGGCCGTGTCGCCCTTGTTATGCTCGATACGAAGCTTGCGGACAACTTGTCCATCCCGGTTCTGGTAGAAAATGGCACGATTTTGGCCGCCACTCTTTCTTGAGGACTGGTCGTAGATGCATTTGAAGGTAGAGGCCACAATCTCGAAGTTGTCGTCCGTTTCGAGCAATGCATTCATGTCCGAGTGATCCCACATTTTCTGGAAGAGGGCGTGCACTATGCCATAGTAGGTCGTGGTGGACTTGAGCTCGGTGTAGCGATCATCTTGGCCAATTGATAGTGTGAATTGGCCATTGGCCCCGACCATGAGCCTCGCTTGCGTGATGTCAAGCCAGTTGGCATCCTTGTCAGTGGCGACTTTCTTGATCGGGGCAAAGATCCATGGCACTTTTCCTAGTGCCCGAAGCCGATTGGTCCACAGGTAGACCTGCTCGGAGGCAGTGAGGCCGCCCACTATGGCCTGCTCCTTCATAATGGAGATGGTCGCGAAGGCGTGAACCCACTCCAGCATCTGGTCGGATTGACATATATGGACAATCTGATCTCGCTTGGGCAGCTGACTTGCCTCTTGCTCTGGAGAGGGGTTGACACTGTACTCCACTAGCTTGGTCGTAGTGACCGGGCCCTGGTATTTGACCTCCTCGCGTGTGGAGGGTGCATCCACAAGGGGAGATGAGGTGGTGGTGCCCGGGGCTGGAGTCTGCGGGATGGTCTCCTTGGTGGAAAATCGGCTAGCTGGAGCCGGTTTCGCTTGGGTAGAGGTCGCAGGTGTTGTGGTGGGGGTCGTTGGGGTCGCAGTCTGGCCCGAAAATGCATTGAAAGGCGCATCGCCAGTCTGGCCAGATCCGGCAGACTTCGGGTGCGACGGTGTACCCGCCGGAGACTACTGCTACTACTACTACTACTACTATATACTACTACTACTACTACTACTACTACTACTACTACTACTACTACTACTACTACTACTACTACTACTACTACTACTACTATTACTATTACGACTACGACGACTACTACTACTACTATTGCTGCTGCTGCTACTTCTGCTGTGCTGCGAGTACTGCTACTACTACTGTTGCACTACTACTGTACGACATCAACTACTACTACTTCTTTTGCCGGATGCTGTGAAGAACTCGAACCTCGCTTGGCGGACCTGGGTGGATTGGCGGAGTCGCCACCCCGGCGCTTAGCGCAAGGCTTGCTGTTGAAGCTTCGCCATCACATGTGCCCGGCTCGAGAGCCCCAAGTGCACAGAGATATGTCGGAACAAGACCTGCTGAACCCTGTGCTGCCAAGGCTTGAAATGCTGTACGCAAGGAGTGCAACACACTCGGGTTCCAGACCCTACTCCTACTCCTACTCCTCCATGTTCTGGTACTTGGCTGTGCTGAAGATTGCTGAAGAAGACGAAGCAAAGCGAGAGAGAAAGACAGAGAGAGAACACGTGAACTGCGGGTGTGCGCTGCGCACGAGGGTCAGAGCCTGGGACGCTGCTCTGCCCTCACGCCCGGTAGAGAGAGAGAGAGAGAGTAGCCTTGCGATGTCACCGTTCTTTTTCACCCCCCGTGTCCGTCAACACGACGGGTGGGCATGATGCCCGTGTGCGTTGACCCGTCCCCATGCCCGGGAGAGAGAGAGCGAGAGCGAGAGCGAGAGCGAGAGCGAGAGCGAAGCGAAGAGAGAGAGAGAGAGTCGTTGACAGGGGATGAGGCAATCTTCCGGAGGTGGCGGCATCTGATTTCGCATGCTTCTCGCTTCGTGTCCACTCCAACGCGTGATGCTCTGTTTCCAAGTTCGAATCTTGACAGGTATCGGACAGCGGAGTTGAAGCACGGCAGGGTTGCGTGTTTCTCAGCCGTCGAAGGCATTGAAGGAAATAGACGTGCGCGTCACGATAGTTCGCAAGGCGATGATGGCTGCTCTCGGTGCTGTGTTCCAGCATTACGTGACCTTTCCTGGGTGCCGCCCTTGCGTTGCTGAAAAGCTGGGCTTGGTTTCGAGTACCCTAGAACTGCCTGAGGTTTGATGATGTGCCTCGTGGAATCGAAGCCATTTCGTCTGGACCGGGTGGCGTGGGTTTCCTTCTCCTCATAGCGCTCGGAGGCTTATGCACACACTGCTGCAACCCTTGAATACAACGAGACCGTTGGCAGGTTACCTGGAGACAGGGAAGTTCAAGCAACAAGAGGGCAAAGAGCCAGGCGACTTGATGATGATGTATAGACGTTTGTCTCTGCCTTTGGCTGCTTAAGTACGGCAAGGCATGGACCGGCCCGCCTGGCCCATCGACCGCAAACCCAAAATTCAAAAAAGCCAGGCGACTTTGGTGATCCTTTGGGCCTCGTTGAAAAGAACGTGGGGCAGTAGCTTGGATGCAGATACAGTTGATCTAGCGCCATGCTAGCTGGAGAGGCAGTGCCCGGCCGTCAGGTATGACCTCGAATGGCGAAACCGAGAAATCAACAATGGGCGCTTTGCCATGTTTGCTGCGATTGGAATCATCGCTGCCGAGAATGAAACAGGCACCGTGGCGTTTCAGGCTGATGTCGAGAAAAGGCAGATTTGAATGCTTCACTGCATGGTCAGGTCTGGACGCTGTCGAGCAAATCTTTGGCCTTTGATTCAATGATCGCAAAACTTTTTCAATTCATGATTGGAGCAAGCGTGTCCTGACATTTCTTGTCCTGCCCTGCGACGGCAGCATCTCTTGAATTATCTTACTGACAGTGCACAGCCATAAACATATTGGAATTCCGGCACTGCGAAAAATGGCGGAGTGCACAGTGAAGGAGTGCCAGATCAACCTTGTTCACATCTTCCCCCGAGTACCCCTAAGCGCGCACGCGCGATTTCTGTGTTTGAATGCTCGGCCTGGCTCAATTGCCCGTCGACTTTGAAGGACGATTCACGGCACATGCCTCAGATATTTGCCCCTTATCCCAATTCGAAGGCTACAAGACAAGATCACCTGTCCATGCCTCTCACTCATACCGTCTCTACCCTCGCATCGCACGGATGCAGACTCATCGTAGCAGAGAGATTCACAGATTCTTGTACCCCTTTTCAGCCCTAGACAACCTATGCTGTCTGCTAAATCACCCCAAGCCTTGGGCGAAGGGCTCACAGCGCTCGTCCCGCTGACCGGATGCGGATCCAATCTCGGAGACTTCGCTGCTTGCAGGCGCTCGCCTGGCCTGGGGAGCGAAAGATGCGAATGCAGAAGCAGCAGAAGTAGAAGTACTCTTCAAATATGCTCAACTTGGAAGATGCATGATGCAAAACTTTTACTGTAAATGAGCCGGCATCAAATCGATTCTCCCATGCACCCCACCAAACCCCGCCCAGAGCCAACAAGCCATTGCATGAAGTCGGCCTTGTGTCGGACTGGCGAAGCATGAGCAATTGATCGGCCTCTTCCGCTGCATGAACACACTAGCACAAGACAAAGTGCTCCTCGAGTTGCATTGAGCAACCAGAGCTACCTGTGGCAAGCAGCACGATATGGGTGAGGATTCCTGATTTGTTCAGGCGGCTGCCTGCCGAGCATGCGCAGCCCCGATTTTTGTTGCAACAATGCCCCTTATGCTTCAGGGTATGTTTGCATCGCACGCCAACTTGGCTTCTCCTGCCAGCGCTGTTTCAATTGCAAGTGCTGCCGCCGGGCTGCCACTGTACATGGCTGGATGGGTGAGAGCAAGACTTATCCATCACCGACCGCTTTTTCGTGTTGATGGCCCGTAATCTCGTTTGACACAGGCGCTCAGCCCGGCCGACACCATGTTAGTAGCTCAGTCGGAGACTTTTGGACAGCATGCTCTTTCTCTATGCTCCACCTCGTGCCAGGCACGGGGCGTCAGTGGAGCAGTTCCACGACTCGCTGTTCGACTCTCAGATACAAAAGGAGGACGTAATGCCGAAAACCAAGCCCAGGCCCGAGAGCGTGGTGGCTATCGAGACAGGCGGATGGTGGTTCCGGGTTGATGCCAGCGCCGCAAGCAGTGGCAAGCGGCAAGCAGGATTGAGCAAGCCATCGCTCTGACATGGACTATGGCTGGTGAAGCGCTCAGAGGTGCTCTCACTTTGTCCGAAAAGCATAAAGCTTTTGAAGGTGTGGACTGGCTGGAGTCTTTGCAGTGCTCTTGGTGGTCGGCTACACAGTGCTAAGTGCTTCCATGTGTTTCCTGGTGAAGTATTGTATCCAGTTTCTCAAGTTCGTGGCCCAAGATAGCTGCCACCCTCGGCTTCATCCAGATCTTCGGGTTGTGGACATGGCAGGCATGGAGGACCCGAGCTCAAAAATTCGGAGGATGAAGACTCGTCCCCCTTGCGATCTGATCTGAGGAAGCTCTATGCATCGGAGGTCCTGCTCTGGATGGTGTTCCTGGTGTTGTCTCTTTTCATCGCCAAAGTCTTCGCCACAGCCACGTTCCCAGATTTGCATTTCTGCTTGTACTCGTACTATGTAGTAAAGCTTCTCCTTCAACGGCACTTGCGGCGAGCTTGTGCCTGCAAGGTAGTCCATGTGACAATCACATTCTGCAAGATTCGACAATATCGAGCTTTGATCCACACGGCCGTGCACAATCAGGACTGGCCGTGTGTGAGCATGTCGCTGCACATAGCTACTGCAGAGCAACTCCGCAGCCGCCCATCACTCGACTTATCCAGAAAGAACACAACCAGTCTGTTTCAGGCAGTGCTTGAAGGCGCAATCATCACGTATCAAAACGGGCGTATGAGCAAATTGAAGTTAGGCGCCACAACCGCTTGTCGTTGCTGGGTTTCATTTTCTATCCAAAGTCTTGGCATGGCCAATCAAAGGGCACGGGGGTTCGGTAATTAGTGCAGTTGCAACCAGATTCCGAAAGCTTTTGCCTGAGCTAAGATGCCGCAGCCCTCAGCCACAATGATGGCACATGGTTGAAAGGCTTCTTGAAATCTTGCCGACAGAAGTGTCGTTCGTCATCGGATGCGAAAGCCGACTAATGCAGACAAATGCTATATCTATACATGTAATGTGTTAGAATGTTGAACCAGGCGACTGCTTCTTTGTTGTACATCGGCGGGACATAGCTGGACTGTCGTACAAGACGTGTCTCCAGCACTAGACTCATGGTGAGGTCGTGTGAATGGGATTTGTGGCAGCTTTGCAGTTTGCCAGGACCCGAGACGCAGTGGCAAGGCCCGTGGCGGTACCGGTCAATCTCGAAGTTCTGCAGAGTCCAAGTCGGCCGATTTCACTCATCTCTGCATGACCCTGACAAGGGCAGATGTAGGTTTCTGGTGACCTGGTGGCGCAGGTCCAGAAGGTACTGATCTGCCACGCGTCGGTTGGCTCTGGCCACTCCAGGGCCGCGCAGGCGAGCGCTTATGATCGGAGTGAGCGGAAAATAGGTGTGACTGACTCCGGATCTGGAGCGTTCTCTGAAGCTCGACGCAGTAGCATGTGCAAGTGTGCTTCGTGAATTTCGGCAAACGAGCAAACCAACTGCTGTATGCTGACGCGCATGCATCTGTCTCAGTGTGTCTCGTTGATTCCTTCCAAATTTTGCTGCGGCCCAACTTGTGATGACTGGACGTCAAACTGCCGTCGTCTGCCGTCGGCCTTGCCCAGCTATTGTGCTTCATCCTCGCCACTTCAGCGGACGACAAACACAGACTCCGAGTCCATACTGATCAAGACAAGACGGAATTGTTTGGATGTCTTTCAATCACTCAGATTGGGCTGTAGCCATGCGAAAAGTCCATAGCGGCTACGTAAACTTCTGTGTCTTCACCTCCACGTGACACGAGTTATTCGCCCTAATTCGTGGAACATTGTGGAGCATGCCTGCGAAATCCAGATAGTAAACTCTGTGCCCTCGTACACATCTCTCCGTAAGTCCACTTGCACATCGTTGCGCAAGTTCAATGCCAATCAACTTCACCACAGAGAGACCATAGAGAACCATAGAGAGGTGGCGTTCGTGCAGGTTTGGGAGCTCGTCCCTACATCTGGGAAACCCTTTCCACTGACTTTCCTTGCCAAACAAGCCCACGAGTTGCCAACACGCATGATGATGCGATTTTGCTTTAACCTGCCAGAGGCCCTGGCTTCTGCTGTGAGCCGGTTGGACGAGTCTGTGGAAGTGCGTGTGGTGGATCTCATGGAGCCCCCATATGCTGCCACAGCCTTATTCGCAGGCAGTAAGCCAGACGGGGCGTCGTTGCCCTTGCCCAATTGCAGTGTGCCATTTCGATCTCAGGATCGCACCTTGATTTATTTCTACAAAGACTGGCCCGCTTGCCTTACTCGCAGATGGTTTGCTTGTATTTTGGATGTTTAGGCCTTGGAAGGACGAGTTAAGCCCCGGCAGGTACTTGCGTCTGGTTGGAGGAGAGACGGTGTGCGGAAATCTGGGCGGACTGTTTGTCGGCTTTCTCTTTGATCGTGCGAACAACGTCCACGACTCCTTCACTGGCGGCAACGCACTTCAACGCCGCATTACGCAGAGCTTCTTGCTCAATTTTATGCAGCTTGTGCCGGATCCTCAAAGCATTGGCACAGCATCACAAACAACAGATGCCGCTTGTGAACGGCTCCGCACACAATCATATGATAGCCTGCCTTGTTCACTCTTGGGTTTGGTCTCCGATCAAGACTTGTGGATGGTCCTGCGCATGTTTTTCACCTAGCCTCACGACGCGTCACGAAGGTGCACTTGCTGAGCACTGTGCCAATCTTTACCACACAGCCCTTCCACTTCCAACTCGTGTTGAACAGGTTCATCATGTCTTTTCAGGGCCCATTTTGCCTATTCTACTGTACAGGCAGCTTCGTTTCCGACGGATTCACTCGCGTCATCAATGAAACTCCCTACGAAGTTGTCGTGCATCTGCAAATACTCGTACAGCTGATCATAGGATCAGAGGTTCTGTGGAAGTTTGCGCGCTTGCATTATCGTGGAGCTGTAGGTTGAATCATTCACCATTCATTGCCCGATGTACGTGCATCGGGATCATTAGCTGACCACTCAGCAACAGCCGCCGGGCTAGTTATGGTTATCTCTTGTATCTACTTCTGCTATATTCTGCACTGGAACCCTATCAGCACCCGGACCAGGGCGGGAGTGCCGAAAGCACTCGGAACGGAAAATAGGCGAATATGCCGGAGCTGCACCGACCGGTGTCGGATCAGAAGCCGTTGGAGATCAACGCACAGACGAGAAATTCGCGCACAGTCGGCACTTCTCGTTTGTTCAGAGTCGCTCTCGTCGCTGTCTGTCGCTTCCGTGGGTCCACACACAAACAGCCGAAGGGTTGCTAGCCTCTTTGGGCCGTGATTCAGGAGCACGGCCACAGCCAGCCAACCATTGGCTACCCTTTAATATTTAGCTTCCATGAGTTTCCAGACTCCATTCAAAACAAATGAATGCATCATGCACGGCTGTCTGATCGACAGGCTAGTCGTATCCTCATGTGTTTGTATGTTTGTGTGAATATGTATATACATAGATAGGCTTTCGGAGCCATTGCCGAGGTGCGAAGCAAAGCCAGATGTCATGGTGCGGCCTGCCAATTGTTGGAAGCGGGGCGTGTTTGTCCCTGCGCCCCTGTTGTTGTTGCTGTAGCTTCCGTTTCATGCCTCATGATGCGTCATGACTGCTTTACGACTCTATTCGTGCTAATGGCCAATTGGTGCAGCATGGCCCTTCCTTGCTTGGAGCTACCTACGATGCTCAGTGACGGCACACACTGTTGGAACATATACACAACATCAGGAGAGCTAGCCCGCACCATGGCAGGTCCACACGCACTTTTTGGCTCCGGAACTTGTGGCATCTCTTCGCCGCAGGCCTCTCTGCAGATAGCATGGGCTTCCCGGTTCAATGATTGTTCAAATCGCTTACCCGCTTTTGCTGGGTGCTCATTTTCCTCTTGAGGCATGGGCTGAAAGTTCCGCAGGTGACCGTGGCCTTTGCCCTGTCTGCAGCCTTTGGTCTGGCGAATGTGTTGACACCGCCTGACATCTCAGGTGACCGACATGGACGTACATGCGTGGTGGTATCAGCAGTTCCTGTCCCAGACACAAATCAGCCTTGTCATGTATCCTTGTGCGCAAATGTGAAGCGTGGGGCGTGTGGCTTTAGTCTAGATGGTAGTTTTAATCGCTTCGCGTCGCCCTCCTCGGCCTGGGGAGGAGGCGAGATTTCATGGTCGGACTTGGTGGCAAATTCATGGCCCCTTTTCAGGGTGGGGGGTCACTGGGGAGGGGATTAAGAGGTGGGGAATAGAGGGAATCCGGACAGGAACCTGTGACCTCTTCGGCCGGGGCCGAGGCGAATACCTGATGGGGCACCTAAGTAAGGATGACTGAACTGAAAGTCATGTTCGTGCGTTTGTGTCTGTCTTTGTGTGTCCTTGATTGTCTGTGTTTGTCTGTGTGTGTGTGTCTGCGTGTATGTCTGCGTATGTCTGCATCTGTGTGTGTCGGTGTGTGTGTCCGCGTGTGTCTGTCTCTCTCTCTCTCTCTGACTGTCTGTCTGTGTGTCTGTCTCTGTGTGTTTGTTTCGGGCACGGACTTCTTCGCACTCAGGCCGACGGACCATTATTTCGTGCCCAGAGAGATAGCACGCCTGCCATGTTTTCCAGAAAGTGGAGATGGCTACTGATCATGGGTTGCAGACGTGCGTTGTCAAGCAGGCCAAGTTTCAGCTTGAAGCTGATGGAGTCCCGGAAGAAGATATCACCGTGAGCGGAATACCGTATACCTGGCATGTGTTGTCTTGGCCTGCCTGAAGATCTGCCGCTGTTCAATTGACATCAGCAAGAGAGCACATAGTAAGTAGCCACGCTACTCAGGTCTACTCACCGAACGGTTGCTGTGCTTGCGGAGCTTATCTTGTCAAATTCGGGCAATTGAATTGAGCTGTTTGAGCTGTTTGAAAAATCCACGCAGCCTGCTTTAGCTCTTATGCATCCTAGAGGGGCGGTCGTGCAAAGGCAACTAAGTAACTAAGTGCGCAGACCGACCGAGATTGGGAGAACGGCCATGCGTTTTTGGCGCGGAAGGCTGAAACTGATGTCAATTCCGCTTCGCGGTTTAAAGGGCATGCGGGCTCGAGGTCTCGGTTTTTCGGACCTTCGGATATTCAACTTGAATTTTGTAACCGTGCCTGGGCAACAGCCATCGTTGAGGTGCATTGATAACCGTAGGGCGTACGGCTGGATCCGAACCATTTCTGGATTGTTGGATGTTTGATCGTTGATCCCACGACCAAGATTGAAGTGAAAGATAAGTTATGATGATTTGGATGACGACAAACTCTGCATTTCCAGTTTCATCTTGCCAGGATTATGCCTCATTTCCAGGTTCGCCCCTCAGGCAGCATGTCATGCTTGCATAGATTAATCGATCTTGCAAGGTGCTGTGTTCTGACTCCATGTGGGTCAAAAGGTTTGCACGCTTGTTGTGTCATGCTTGGGGCGGGGACCTAAACTGCAGCAGCCATTTATGCGGGTTCGGAGTTTGAGGACAGTTGGCGAGAGTTTCTGTTGGAGGAGCTGTAAATCTGGTACTGTCGATGTCTCAGGACACTCTGAACTCCATCAAACATCTCGGCCGGGATGGGCGAAGACAGCGATTTCTGAGCCAAATGGACTGCTTCCCTGAGCACAGAGAGTGAGCGCCAGTTGCTTAGCTGCCCACTTGATGAGAAAACATGAAGCAGTCGCAGGATGCTCCCCTCCATGAAGCCTTCCTTCCTGTCTCCGACATGCCAGTGATTGTTCAAATGTCCACCGGCAGGCAGCGGCAGGGACGGCAGGGTAGGATTGAAGTCCATTCTTGCAATCTGCCCCGCGAGTTGTAGACGAGTTCCTGTGTGCTTCGCAGTGGCCCTGGCAGGAGCGTTCTTCAGATATTCAAACATTTGATCCAGCTGGACTGCGCGAGCTTTTTGAGAGTGCCGAGTGCAAGCGGGAAGTGGATGTTTCTTGATCTCGCTGTTCTCTTGACTCTGCTTGTCTGGCTCCCAGGCTCAGTCCTGCCGAAAGCAAGACAACAGCCTGGAAGAAACAGTATATTAGGTTTGCCAGCACTGCCATCATGAGCGGTCTCGTGACTGAGTCTTGCAACGCGTTGAACTGGCGCCTCACAGATAAAGCGGCATGTCAGTTGCACGGAAGCCAGAAACATCCCAAAGCCATTTAATTTAAGCGTAACTTCAAATGCAGGCAGGTTCCGTGTACACTCATGGTGGACGAACCCTCAGGCACAAATGCTCCCATACCAGAGTTCGAACAGGCAACAAGCGCAATGGTATGCGGTGGACACCCAATCAAGAAGCTCTCAGCGGCCCGACAAGCAGATAGGAAAAGAGTTTCGCGCCAGCACCAGAAAGCATCAGCGACAGAGGCATGCACAAAGTTAAGACCTGCAAAGCTTCTTCTTTTTGTGGCGACGGGGTGCAGCGATTTGTGGGCACGGCCCGATTCAACTAGCACTGCATGTTGCACATCTTGCCACCAGATGGCGGGCCGCATGCAGAAAGCAGAACCACAACAAGTAGTCAGGCGATCTACACCGAAACATTGGGCATTGGACATCCGCAGTGACCTTGTGTGCTCTCAATTATCGGGCCCCTAGTATTGAATATCATTTTCGTGAGCCCTTTGGTTCGCGAGACATCTGCGAAGACTTTCCTGTGTCAGGCAGGACCAAAGCTACCTGCGGTTCACTTGCCTGTAGTAGCAAACACTGCCTAAAGCATCGTAAAGACTTCGGTGCTGGTGTCCTTCCCGAATGCTCGCGTTCCCCAGGTTATCTCAGGACTGAAGGCAAAGAGCCACAGGAATATAGGGCTGCAAGGTTTGTCGGCAGTAAAATGGAGGGATAATTGCAGAGATCCACCGAGGATAGCCGAGGAATGCTGCCTTGCAAAGTGTTCCCGAGAAAGACGGAACATGTAAATTCGCGCATAGCGACCAAGAGGATGTTTATCAAGACGGATTGCTTTGCTGTTTTCTTCCGCTGCAACAGAAACAGAGGAGACACCTTCCATCCTGGTGGTCGTATGTGGCCGCCAAGCTGATTCCAGGGCCGAGTCAGCAGCCGAGTTTTTCTAAGTGTATGGATCAGTTACTTGACGCGTGCGTTGCCCCTCTTGTCATCGATAAGTATCCAACGTCCAGTTCACAGCGCATCACAGGGTGCTGGAGGTCCGAGAAGTGTCGCACACCATGTACACCAACAGCATTGCAACTACGTCCCGCCCAGAGCGATAAGCACCAGAAAATGCAGCGACAACGCGTTCGTAACACGTAGACATTTCCAGTGTTTCTCTCCGAGTGTCCGTAGCTGCAACCCCCAAATGGTATTGCGTGTGCAAGCCACCTCGCCAAGTGGGTACTGTACTGGACCTTTTGGGGCCCTGAAACCGTCAGCCATAGAGCTGCGTAGTGAGTGCATGAAAGCCCCTTAAAGTAATGGGCAGGCCTCCTAAATGTTGCTGAGAACAGGATGTCCATGCAGAGTGAGGAATTCCGAAAATTCTGCAGCTGCCAAGTTCAAAAGGCCTTAGCAGTCTTGCAGATGTGTGCAGTGCATAGTGTGCGTATTGTCCTTGCTTGTACTTGTGCTTGCTTGGCGCTGCCCTTCGAATCACACACATGCTGCAAGTGCCGTCTTCGAGGCTGGAAAAAGTGCCAGTGCCGCACCGGCGACGAGCTCGGGTTTCAAACCGGGCGGCGGCATTGATCCACAGGCTAGTTAACAAGCCCGGCATGTACCTTCAGGCATCGAGTAGCTCTTCTTGGATTCAGCTCGCAAGCATCCCGGGCGTTGCGATTGACTGTGGGTGTAGTGTTCTTGCAGATGCCACGTTGCTATACCAGGTGCATCCACGAGCTTCTAGCCGTCGCCGACGTGGTTATCTCCAAGCTTCTCGCCCTCTTTAGCTGAGGCATCCTTTTTCTGCTAGTGCATGTGCTGACATGCCCCAACTTGATGCAAGACAACGACTACGCTTGACTCCTGAGGCCGGGTGGGCTGATTACCTCCGAGGCCTTATCCTGTGGGTTGATGATGGCCGTGTCCTCGGAGCACTCTTCTGAGGTCGCAGGCTTGCCTTTTATTTGCATTGTACGCTGTAAGTGCATGTTGCAGCACCAACTCCTCCTCCCGTACTCGCGCTGTTGAACTCAAGGTCGTCGTTGACCCGTACCCTGGACAAGAAGAGAGAAATGCATCTATGCTGCTCGAAGAAGGGGCAGGCACTTGCTGGATACGGGCATTGCCAGTGCGTCTCGTAGCAGGCTGAACACTCGTCGTAGTCGTAGCCTCATAGCTGGAAGTGAACGTGGCAGATTAACTCAAATGAAAAAGTATCCCAAACCAAAAAGCACACACCAGACCGCCGTACCGGTGGGTAGAAACATGAGAGGGAAACACCATGGATGCTCGGCACTATGGGAAGCGAGCGCTAATGCCCTGCAACCTTAACACTGCGTCCACTGAGTACAACAAGCTTTGCAAGACGCAGAGAACTTGGGCCGCCGTAGCAAGCCAGTTTCCACGTCCAAGGCAGCCTAATGAGTTTGCTTTCTCGAGCACGGGAAGCGCCGAAGACCTGGAGCACCGGAGCATCCCCAATCCATCGATCCAGTCGGAGAAGGTTCTCTCGATTTCTGTCTCCATCCATCGTTGTCCAGCTATCAAAACCAGACGCTCTGATGCCGAAACCCTTGCAAAGAGGATGGCCAGAAATTGCAATCGAGCCCGACACGCCAAAGAAAATCTCCTCCTTGTCCTGTCCACCGGGATCTTTTGGCCTTTTTTGGCTTGGAGTGACGAGCCAGTCTGCCAAAGGCGGCAGGTTCTGTGAGCCACAGGTCTAATGAGTCTAATGTTTAACGGGGGTGACATGAGAGGTTGCACGCCTGTGCTCCGTGGAGATGCTTGAGTCCACAGCTCGACATGCCTTCCGTGCAGAGTCTATGCCTTCCCTGCGCATTTTTCGCTGACCTCGCAACTTACGCTAGAGTGCATCCCCTCCGATGGTGCTGTGTGCCTCTAGTAAGCGAGATTGCTAAGCGCTTGCTGTGAGGACGTGATATCGTAGCTCAAAAAGCCCCTCCTCCACAACCGCACAGTCACGTTGTCCACGGCAGATCTGGCAGCTATGATGGAGAGTCAGATAGCCTGCAACCTTATACACGGTGTCAGGTATATGGATGTGGGACTACCGAGACATCTCCTTCAGGTCGCGATGCTTCAACACCTTGTCGCGCGTTGCTTCACGTCCCATCGTGTTCTAGGAATAAAACGTTGAAACTATGCTTTAATGCCGGTTTCCTGGCCCTGGCCAGGTTGGATCGAATCATCTCTGCACCCGCAGAGGCCAAATTCTCCCTGAGCTGGTATCAGCAGAATGTGTGCAGCTCAGACTCAGATCGGTTGGTTGGCCCAAGCTAGATGAAACAGCTTGCCCGTATGTCCCACATGCTGGAGGCCAGGCGCATTGCCAAACCTGAGGCTGCGTTTAAGATCGCACGGCTCCGGCCTCAGCTTCCGTGGCCAAGGCTCGGTCTCCAAACCGGCACAGCCACTGCAGAGCCATAGCTGCGGACAGAGTGTTTACAGCCGCCATTTGGCCCTGAACCTGTAAATGCTGCTAATCATTGCTAATCCGTAAAAAGAGAGTTCAACATGCTTGAACCTGATGGCGATAGCCAAGCCAGGAAGAGTCTGGATCTGCTGCCGTGTAAACCAGTCTCGAAAATCTTGTGTACCAGGTACGTCCTCAGCGATGCTCCGCGACAGCGCATGATGCGGGAGGATTTGGAGCATTGACGACATTTGACGACAATGAACAATCCCAGCCACCTGCCATCACCAGACTCTTCAACTCCCATGCACAGTTTCAGGTAGTCAATCGGCAAGATGCTGTGAAAGTCCCGCTGTAAGCGTGAGCGTGAGGAGTTCGACTTGGAAATCAGCTCGGACTCGTCCCCTCCTACCGTAAGTCAGGGCAGCTGGTCCGTGTCCGATGCTCAGGTTGAGATGTGAATCCGTCGATGGGCATGTCTTCTCCGCTGAGTGCTCATGCTGTGCTTGGTCGGAGGTTTGACTACTCGGATGAGCGGGTCGCACCTTGGATGGTTTGATAACCAATGTTCACACCTTGGAGAGCAGCTTCTGTGGTGCTTGGTGAGGATCGAAGGGGTCGCCGTTCTTCTCATCCGACCCGAGCTGAGGGATCTGCCTTGTGCTGCAATCAGCTGCAGTGTGAAGGTGTTTCTGCAGCAGGGGCGGACGCTCTTGAGACGATGCTCCGTACACATTTGTGTGCGACCGCACGTGAGATCATCAGCGTCTAAAAGCCTCGTCTATATAGCATTAGGTACGGCAAGAGAGAGGTGCACGTTTGCAAGTTTGACCCACACGAGAAAAGGAACACGGCCAAATGCCATGCCACTGCAGACACATTTTCGTGGGGTGCGATTGCAAAACGCGCGGCCTGGGACAATCGCGCATAAGTTCAGGCTCCATGCGAAGGCTGCAGCCGCATGAGCCAGACAGACACCGAGAGATGAAAGCTTCCTGTAGACTTTGAACCAATGTTTGGGCACCTTTGTATCCTTGATGAAGTGTTGGCCCTGCAGGTGAACGGGGACTGTTTAGCTGCAGTGTTTGTCCTAGCTTACGCCTCTTGGATGCTATGCACACACATATGCGCACGTCTGGATTTGCTGCCAACTAATTTTATCTGTTTTTGCTTGCAAACCCATACGTTTGGCACCTTTGGGTTGGATGCAAAGGTTCAATGATTGTGACCGCTTGCGGGGAGGTCGGTGAACTTTGGAGCTATGATGGGTTCAAGATGGACACGGAAGTTCGCGTGGTTAGCTACTCTGGGGCCTTTGGGCACAGAATTGGAACGAGACGGTTTCAGCTTCAGGGACGCGCGAATTTTGCACGGAACAGAAGCCATATGGAACTGACGCGCGAATTTGCACGGAACAAGAGCCATATGGAACTGCGTAACACGATCAAAACGAGATTGCTGACATCGCCCAACCCGAAGTAAAACCATTCTTCAGACTGGAAGCCTGAAGCGGCACAAAGTCATCCAGGTGCTCCAACGGCTTTGTACGGGAGCATGCTTTAGGAATGATTCATGATTCGGTAGGCTGGGAGTCGGGTATAGCAGGTGTTCGCTAAAAGGCAGTGCATGCCAAGCAATCTCGAGCTTAGCGGACATGAGGAGGCGGCTTCGTTTGAGCGACTTCAACGATATGAAGGTGCGCATAGTGCATTTGGGCGGTGTGGAAGAGACTTCATGGTAAGGGACACTTAGCGCGTTGAGTGGCGTTTCCAGCAAGACTCGAGCAATTGTCCGTGAATCATGCACAGACCCATTAAGTGGCCCTCCTTGCCATTCGTCACTTCAGAGGGACGTCCTCAGCACAGGCCTTGGAATCCAATGCCGTGCCGCACGAAGACAGCGACGGCAGCGAGTTGAGCGACAGCGCACTTCCCATGCAGGCCTGTGATGAGCTTCCGAATCCGAGCAAATCCGAGCAATGGCCCTGAAGACGATAAAGCCGAGTTCACCTGGCAGGCACCAGACGAGTAAGTTTCACCAGTTGATGGTCTGAGATCCTGCCAGCGGCTGTGAAAGCAAAGAGTCGCGGAGGATCTTCCTCGCGCAGGAAAAGGCAGTCATCAGAAGCTCGAGTCATCGTGAGTCTACCACTTGGAAGATGTTTCAGTGACGGATCGCCCAGACGCAGCCCAGATGTTTCTACTGCTTGAGAGGCAAGGGCTGCATCTGCACTTTTTCGTGAACGGCTCAATTCCAGGTGCGGGTTCCCATTCTAGCGTGTTCTAACCGGCCGGAGCCATGGCCGCGGAGGCCTTAGCCCAAGAGGGGATATAGAGCGGACCGACGGGTGGGAGTGCTAGCGAGACCCGACCCGTCGCGTTCTGGGCAGGCAGAAATGCATTTGGCCAAGTCGTGCCGAGTGACAGTTCCGCTCTCGGCATCAGGCCCGACCTTCGTGACAGCGAATTGAAGTCAAGTTGCGTGCCCAGGTCGAAACCGAGGTGCCCATCGTTCTGACCCGAGTGATGTCAGTCCGTTGATGACCGAAACAGCAGAGGTTTGCTGTTGTGCGAACTTGAGGATTGTGATCTTGGGCATTTGGGTCTTGATCCCCAGCTTCCTCGGAGCAACAGAGAAGCTGAAGCATGTCGGTGCTTGATGTAGCGAGTCGTGCCAAGCTGCAGGGCTTGGAAGAAACAATGAGTACCTGAAGAAAGGAACAAAAGCAACATAAATTTGCCACCGAAGAATGTACAGAGAGAGAGAGGGGGTAACACCCCTCCTATACCATAGCCCTGGCGAAAGAAAGAGAGAGAGAGAGAGAGAGACACACACACACATTGTCCAAGACTGCTGACTCCTGACATCCAACCTCTCGTCAGTCCACTCCAAGATCGGGAGTGCACTTGCACGGTGCCACACGTGGCCGACTAGCTGATCACCGCTTTCGCACCTTCTCGATAAGGTCCCCCAAGAGAGGCAAGGGGAAGTGGCGCTTTCGCAACCAACATGATGCCGGGCATAAGCCCGTTTTTCCAATAGGCCACAGGCAACTGAAACATTGCGTTTGCGACCGCGGCCCAGTGCTGATCAGCTGCTGACGTGTCCGTCTACTTAGAAGCTTGTCCACACGGGGTCTTTCGGACACACCTCCAGGCACTGCGGTACTGCGCACGAGAAGTTCGACGGGGACTCGACCAGCAAACAATGTAGTATCCAAAGCTTGTTTTGAGCTCGCTATGGCTGCCATTTACAACCATGGGAGACCCACTGCCGCATAAGTGCCTGCATCATCCTCCTACAGCTCGTTCTACAAACAGGCTCTCACGTGCTGCTGAAGCAGCTGACAGGGATCTCCACTTGGCGCAACAGGTCGTTTTGCGCACCTGTGCACGGAACACCGTGCGACGGATCCATAGTTGAAACGGGAAGGGTGCGGCGCATCATCTTGAAAAGTCCACGTACACCGTCCTGGTTTCAAGTGTAAGTTCACGAGGCCGTCTCGAAGAGGCGCCGTCTCTCGTCTCTCGTTGTGCCTGAGCTGGCATTCTCAAAAAAAGAGAAGCTGTTCATTGTAGCCTGTCCCTGTCGGGGTATCTATATGCAAATATTGCAGGTAATACCAGTGCTCGACCTGTTAGAAAAACTTAGCCAGGTGGGAGTTGGGCTAGGGCGCACCAAGGGAATAAGAGGTGAAACGGCAGAGCAGCTGTCCCAACACGAAAGCCCAACAACAAGCAACACAAGTGGGTTCCACCATCTACTCTCGAGTGCCCACGTGAATTATTAAGCATGTGTAGAGCTGCAGGGAGGGCTCACGACAAGAACGCCGTCTGACTGTTCTTGACATAACCAGCACTATCCTGCGCAACTTTGCTCCTCGCCTGGTTTTTGGGTCGGAAGCAACGCATCCCAACCCCTTCTGGCCTGCGGCAGGCGAGGATCCCCTCTCCTCGTCGAGGCCACCGGCCACCCCCAAGTCCTCACGAACACCATGCGAGGGCTCGCTGAATGCAGCGCGCTACGCGTGAGAGAGACCAACCTGCATCATTAATTCAGGAGGCTGTCGAGCATCACACGTGCTGACAGGTACTGGCACTGGTACTGGTATTGCAGCTGGAAGCAGCGTCCAAGCTTCAAACTGTAGTTCCGTAGCAGTCAGTCAGACCATCAAGTTCCAGGCAAGCAAGCCTAGGACGGGTTCATGCGATGAGCTTGTCAAACTGTCAATTCAGAGCAAGCACCGGCTGTCCATTAGCCAACGAAATGACACGAAGCCCAAGTGAGACTGAGAAAGACATGCCGTCTGACCAGGTCACGATCAGCCGCTTGCTTCAAAAATTCTGAAGAAGCGCCGTGATGAAATGGCACGGCGTATGCGGCTGCACTTTCGGCATGTTACACGGCAGCTGCTGCGCTTGCACACATGACTTCTTCTTGCGCCGGAACGTCAAATCTGAGCTACCGGCAATTCCAATGGCAGGCTTGACCCTCGCCAGAGGGTCGGAGGCGTACCTCACGAGGCTGCGGCATGAATCAGCCGTGCCTGGTGCGTGCTGTGCTCCCGGACAGGTCCTTGCAGGGCAGCTGGAGGGGAAGAGACGAGTGGCTGAAGCACTACCCTGATGGCAGATGCGAGCACTAGTCACTAGACTTCAGGCAAAGCAAATCAAGCACGATGGACGGGCTTCCCAGGCCGAACAGGCAGAAGACGCGTTCTACGCTCAGAGCGCAGTGCTGCAGGAGCTGTGGGCGAGCTGACTTCTGATTGAGTCTCAACCGATATACGACTTCAGCAGGATGAGATCCTACAAACTGTGGAGGGCATGAAGGCCTCGAACGAAGTGTCAGTTGCTGGCAATTTGCACGCATGCTGGAGTCGCCATTGACCATGTGCATATTATTAGATGTTGCTCGGAAGCGATATCTCAAGACGCACGGCATCACATATCGGCGCATGAACAGCGAGCCGCAAAGACACAGCACTGATACCGCACGCTGCAACCTGCAAACTGGGCGTAAACGATCAGACGCCATCGCTGTTGCGCCACTCTTTGAGAATGGAAATTCGGTACGACTTTTGTCGCATGATCCGATAAGACGATAACTTGCCATCCGGGATTTGGGTGCAAAACGGTCGAGGTGTTGCACGGTGTTGCATGGTGTGCCGCGTCGTTTGCGCGGTCATGCGGGATTTTGTGCAGGGTGTGCGGCAGTTTAGCTTGGCTTGGTCGCTTGGAGGTAGGTGAGTGCCAAGAGGTGCAAGTTGCTGGCGCGGGCTTATGTTTGCGAGGGGGGGCGGGGGGGAGGTGGTTCAGGTACGTTCAGGTTCATTTTAGGATGGGGGTTCTGGAAACTCCGGGGCTACCTCGCTTGTGAGAGCTCTTGCATTTGGGGTGGCATGGGCTTGCGCGAGCTGTGCGCAGGATGCGCAGGTTTATGGAGCTGGCTTGGCTTAGCTAGTCTTGTTTCTGCTGTTTTCGCAGGCTTGGAAGATGCGGCTTCGGGTTTTGAACGGTTCAGGCTTCCGACGGGTAGGAGGGGGCCGGGTGAATATGTCCTGTGTCTTGCGACCGCCACCCTGCTCAGGGTTTCGCAAGTTTGGAAGATGCAGTTTCGGGTTTTACGTTGTTCAGGCTTCCGACAGGATTTCTGTGGGCGGTGGATGCGTCCTGTTCCTTGCGACCGCCACCTTGCTGAACTGGTCATGCATCCGCCCGCTTGGCTGACTCTTGCGCTGGCATGCCCGCTCGTGCCGTGCCATGTCCTTTGCTCCTGCTCCTGCTCCTGCTGCTACTGCTGCACTCTCCCAACCGGTTTCCGCCCCCTCACAGAAGAAACAAGATGACAAAAACTGAGCAACAACCAGCATCCAACGACTCAGAACAATGCTTTCGCCTCGAGGTCTCCTTGTGCTGTCTACTGAAGCGGCAACGCCTGCCAGGGCCTATACTACAGTGTTACTACAGTGTAAAAAGCAGTACTTCTGAGTACGTCCTCAACACCCTGAAACACAGCATTCAGCAAAATCC